TATATATATATATATACCGAGCAGTATACCGCTTGGTAAGGTTCGCTGTACCGTGCCGTACCGGCGTTTCGACCCGGGCTCAGTACGGTACAGTACCGGTGTACCGGGTGGTACATCAGGACGTACCGAGCGGTACACCTTTGTGTACCGAACAATTTTATACTTTTTTCATACTATAGCAGCGCTACAGTATAATACTGTAGCACTGTAGCGGTACCGGGCGGTCCGCGTACCGGTAACCTCTTAGACCGGTACGTATCGCCCGTATCGGGTGGTACGCTTCGGTATGGCAGACGTTGTCGCTCGGTATACAGTTTTGTACCGTACCGAGCAAACCTCGAAATTCCAGTACGGTACGAAATTGCATACCTTGCTTGGAACAGTAAAATAAAAGTGCTGGTAGCTGTCTACATGACCCATATGAATTGTGGGTTTGAATGTGAATCCATGTGACACTCTAATTATGCCCGCTTTTCAGAGTATTGATTCTTGTTGATTGTTGGTCATTCCAATTGTGGTTCAAACCAAGGTTCGCAATACCGTACCGTACCGGTATTTCGACCTGGGCTCGGTACCGGTACGGTACGGTATACCGAGCTACAGTGCACTCGGACCGGTAACAGTCGGTCCGTGTACCGACAACCTGTCGGACCGGTACGTACCGCCCGTACCGGGCGGTACGGCTCGGTACGACAGACCCTGGTTCAAACACTATCGTTTTGGGATGATCTGGTTCTAGATAAAGTTAAAATTTTAATTTTTTTCACCCATATTGAAGACCATAAATAATGTGGGTTACAAGGGACAACTAGGCCAAGAATTATAAAAAGAGAAATAGATAGGGTCAACAGGTCTATTTTTCCACCTAATTTTTTCATATATATGATCTATCTCTTGTTATTGTGCTGTTGAACAATGAATATTTTAAAATTATCATTATATATAATGTTTATGTTTAAAATCTAGATCTTCTCTAAACTATAATCCTAGATACCTAAGGCTACAAACACTAGTACTAGCCTTCCCTTGACCATCTCCCTACCTGATCTTATGTCAACCTCTATGGTTCCATTTATGTGTCTCTATTTGGGTAACTGATAGAAACTAGAAATATTTCTTACACATAAAAGTAGATAAAGGGTTAATTTGACCAACTAGACTTAAGAGTTAAGGCTACTTATATATTTGAGAGAATGCCAGGTGAATACAGGAAATACAGTGGTATTTATGTATTAGAAGAAAGTGGATGAATGGACTTGTATGAACCAATGTTCGAAATCTCGTTACTCTGGCTGATTTAATCATTGGTCAGACTGGCATAGATCTGGTGTATACTAGCATATTGACACATGATACACCAACATACCAATCGGCATGGACAAGAAAATATGTGAGGAGATACTCAGTTATTTTTATTTCTTGTTTTTAAATTACTGGCTGTTGGTTGTTTTTGTACATTGGTAAAATTCATGCAAGTCACTGAAATTTTATAAAATGATGTATAATTTTTCTATCAAGTTTCTAATCTTTTCATTCATCTTGTTATATGTAATGTGCAGTTGAAGAATGTCCGAGTAACTAAAAATGCTTTCTTTATCAAGAAAAAAACTTGGTCTATGACTCTGTGCTATAGGAAGAATATAAAAATCATATCAGCTGAATTCTTATGCAATGTTAAAAATAACATGATTTGATACTTGAAATAACTTGGTGTCTTTGATACATCTTCTACATTCGGCATGATTGTTGAAGCAAGAAAGGCCTTGAAACTTGAGTGTCGTTGCAGTTTCCTTCCACTGTAAAATATGAATTCTTATATTCTTTTTTGTTGAATTATGCATTTTTCATCTCATGGTTTTCAATTTTTGCAGCTACTTGATACTGGCTTCTTTCATGCTGATCCTCATCCTGGAAATATGATTCGTACACCAGATGGGAAGTTGGCTATACTTGACTTTGGTAATGTTCCCTTTCTGAATGGATGATTCTACATAATTAATGGCATTGTACTCAGCTGCTATCATTTGAACCTCAGTCAGAAACATCTTCAACTTTCATTGAGTTCCACAATTTGTCTGTATGATGCATAAAGTAGCAGAGTTTGAGGGATATGTGAATAATCTCTTATGTGTTGCTTACGTACTTAGTGTCGTTAGTGTATATTACTGATTCAGCGAAATATATTCACAAGCAGATGTTATAAGCAAAAATATACTAAAAATACATAATAGGAAAATGTGTTGTGTGACTCTGAGTATTCTGGTTGTAGTTGTTATCATAGTGATCATCTCTCTTCATATATTAAGAGGACAAAGAGAGAAAAGTCAAAGTGATTTGTTGGGTTTGTAGTTATGAGAGGCCAATCTTGGAAAAACTAGTTGAGATATTATCCTTTTAGAATGTCAGGAACTAAAACAATGATTATCTATTTAATAATTTGAGGTATTCGGTATACCACACTTCAACTGTATTTGCTGAATTGAACCATCTGATTAATATATTAGCTAAGATAATTTCAAGGAGATGTAAAATAAAGAATCATGAGAATAGAGAATAATAAAATAAAGAATTTCCATGACAAAAATCATCTAAGCCAAAGAGCACTACAAAGTCAATATGCAACATGATTTGTTCTGAAAGTGGTAAGGTAATATGCATAAGTGATACTTCAACATTGTAGCATGGCTTCTTATGATGGTAGTTGTAATAATTGTAGTAGAAGCGTTAGACAATATGCTCATGTGATCGATAAATATAAATGTTGAAGCAACACATCTTAATGTAGTTGTTAACATGTATTGCTTGTAATTTGACAATTGAAGCAAGGATAAGTTGAGGGCTTCTGAAGAAGCAAAATTGGAGGGAGTGATTTTCAATAAGTGGAGGATATGGGATTAAGACCAGGGAACTCCCCTTTCTTGCCGATTGGGTGTTTTGTTGCCTGTTAGACCAGTACGTATCAAACGGTATTGGTGTATGTGTCGGACCAATACGTATCAGACGGTATTGGTGTATTGATGAGATCAGTAGACTATTTTTCTCCTAATTTCTTGATATGTGAATTATATTTAAATACAAATAAACGTATCTAAGCCATAAATGAATAGAAATTCTAGTTATAAGGATGAAAAATTGAATTTATCTTTTTGAATCCATAAAGGAATAACTTTGTTGAACATACTTTTGTCGAAGTAAGATAAATACTTTCAATTGGAGAGAAATTTCACCGGATCCCAAGTTCGGATCTCAAGAGGTTGATTTCCACTGATTGCGGATTAGGAAAATTAAACAAGTGAGAGTGAGTGAAAGAGGGGGAGGGAGGAGAGTTTAAAAGGGCCTTAACAGGGCCCAATGGGCAATTTGATTGTTGCAATCTAGCTTGATGGGAAAGGAGAATAGGACGATTGAAATCCGATCGTTACCTATCTGTATTGATTAGTAATGGTTGACTTCCAACCTTATGGGCCGAGGCGTATCGATTGGTACGTCTACCCTTAATTGCATACCATCAAAACAGGTTGGTCCGCATACCGATCAGCTTGTTAGCTGGTATGTACAACCCATTTCATACTATATCTGGCGATATGCAAGTCCATTTTTAAGACCATGTAGAAACATACATAATTGGCATGAATTGGAAGATAAAGGTCAATATCATTTGGGATTGTCCTTATGATTAGAAAGGATTAGGCAACACAATATCTTGAGTCAGAAAATTGCCAATCTCGACTTATCTTGAGTCGTGATTTGGCATACCATGAGTTTGCATGTGTTCTAGAAGTATGGTTTTCCAATTGCAGGACTTGTCATAATCAAGAGATCAGAGAAGAAGCACATTACTTTAAAAAAAACACAAAAAGATCTTTTCATGCTGAATTTGAGGTGTGTCATTGCTAAATTTCTGTTAGCTCAATATTTGTGCATGGATTCGCATGGGGGGCACACTTTGAAAGACGTTCTGCAGTAATCTCTTAAGTATTAGGATAGTTTTCAATCAGCCAACCACTGCAACAGTTATAAAACTAATCTTATATGCTTCCTGGAATGCTAAGGCCCAAAGTTCCTTCACCTCCAAGTTTGATTATGACTGACCAAGAGGGAGGCTCATGTGCTGAAGGATACAACTGAAGAACCAGTTAATCCTGTAAGAGTTTACTTAGTCGCATGTTTGGACCATTGAGCATATGTTACATAGAACATGCTGACCATGTGTATTATGTTTCATGTATCCTAAGACCTGTGGGATGAAGGATGCATGAATATACGAAGGTACCAAGAAACATAATCACTAACTTTATAGATATAAAGTTATGGGGCTTAGATTTAAAGAATTAATGAAATAATCAACCAATATTTGCATTAATATTTGTAGTTTGCATTTATAATTTATTTATGCCTCTCCTTCGATCGGTAATGTGCAGAATGTCTAGATTATGTTCTTTAGTTGTCTTGGTATTTTTTGTTCTAACATTCTTTTTGCAGTTTTCCTTTTGCAAAAACCTCTGTTGGACTTCTATTTTTTCTTTTTTAAAAAATTTGAATAAAATTGTTGCATTAAGTGGCTTTCGTGTGTCAGGCCTCGTGACAAGATTGACTGATGATCAGAAGTATGGTATAATTGAAGCAATTGCCCACCTGATTCATCGTGACTACAATGAAATTGTCAAGGACTTTGTCAAGCTTGATTTCATTCCTGATGGTGTCAATTTGGAACCAATCTTGCCAGTGCTGGCCAAAGTTTTTGATCAGGCACTAGAAGGAGGTGGTGCAAAAAATATTAACTTTCAGGAATTAGCATCTGATTTGGCTCAAATTACCTTTGATTATCCATTCAGAATACCACCATATTTTGCTTTAATAATCAGAGCAATTGGGGTATTAGAAGGAATAGCACTAGTTGGAAATCCTGACTTTGCGATTGTAGACGAAGCATACCCATATCTCGCTCAGGTATACGATATCAAGCAGCCATTTTTTACCACTTCTTACATGATGATATTGACTATTACTTGTGATCCTTTATATTTTACTAAAAAGAGAATAATTCTTTCACCTTTATGATATAGCTATGGCCACTTATCGTTTGCAATAGAATAAACAGATTCCCTAGCATGGCTTCAGACTGTGTAGATTCAGATTAAAAAACTTACATTTTTTGTCAATACTTGTTTGGCTTTAACATCAAGTTCTGGGTCACATAATGCCAGTGTATTTCTGGGACTTGTATGTTGACATGTATCTGTCTTCTAACTTCTTCAGCGTTAGTCACACTTGGCAATATTACTTCGTATAACATTATTACTCAAAACAATGACAGTAAAGATTGTGCTTTTCTGTTTGTCCAATTATTTGCGGTCAGTTACATGAACCTTTTCCTTTTATTTAGCTTTGTTAAGGATTGTTCTTTCCACTGTACATATGGACATGTATTTTCTAACTGCTGTGGTCCTAGTTCCTTTTCTGTCCTCTCCCCCTTTTCATCCCTCCTCACTGTGTACTTCCCACTGTATCACCTACTTTATGCATGGGAGAACCACCTTTTGATGGTGTCATTTTCAAGAGATAACATGTTGTGATAGTCATATATAACACTAACACATACAAACAAGACGTTCTTGGTGGTTCATATATCATGCTACCACATTTTTTGTGTTTCTTCTTCTCATTCAATTTCTAATTCATGGGTGCAGCTTTAGCTAATTTGTTTTTTCTTTTTGAAAAACAGAGACTTTTAACAGATGAATCCCCCAGGTTGAAGGAGGCATTGCGGTATATGATATATGGTAAACGCGGAGTGTTTGATGCAGAAAGATTCATTGATGTCATGCAAGCTTTCGAGAATTTCATCACTGCTGCAAAAAGTGGAGGTGGTGAAAATCTGAATGGAAATATGGCTGATCTTGGTTCTTTGCAGAGTCAACCAGGTCTTCTGGTCCCAGTATTTCCAGCATTAGTACCTCAGCCAGCACAGCCTGTCAAGACTAGGGCAGCCCTCACGTTTTTGCTTTCTGAAAAAGGAAACTTCTTCAGAGAATTTATTCTAGATGAGGTAAACTTATCTCGCATTGAAACTAATTGATAAGACATGCTACAAGAAGAATGTTTTAGACTCAGGTATATCCTGTTGTAAAGTTCTGGTCACTATACCAATGTAAGATTTGGGACAGCAACATTCTTTACTGGTAATTCCTAGGGCCATCTAAGGAAGTTAGGTTTTGTGGAGCATATTAAATTGCTCCCCTATGTCAAAAAGGCTTCACTTTATATATATATATATATATATATATATATATATTAATTACACAAATGCGCAATTTAGATAACCAAGTCATTCAGATATTTCTAGAGGTACATGTTGACATTTGATGACAGTATATTAAGATCCTTAATATTTTGATACAATATACTGGGTTCTTTTTGCATTTTGGTAGTTCACTACTATTGGTTTTTGTGTTTGAGCAATTACTTTTAACCTGTGAATGCTTGAAGTGAATATTTATGACCCTTGATACTTTGATAGTAAGAAATTCAACAAACTGATTCAAGCTTTGTGCTGAAGTGTGGGTTATTGATCAATGCAGGTCGTTAAAGCGATTGATGCAGTTTCGCGAGAGCAGTTGGTCCAAATTGCTGCAGTTATGGGAATTGGGACTGCAGCTCCAGTTTTTAGTATGGCTCCCCTGAGGCCTGCGGTTTTGCTGCCCACCATCACAGAGGAGGACAGAGTCATACTAAACAATGTTGAAAAAGTTGCAAAGTTTCTAACTTCAGAAACTTCTAAAGCATCATCACATCAGGTATCAACATATATAAAAAATTTAAAACCACCTGCTTTTATCCTAAATTTAAGCAATTTATTAGTATATCTCAATGTTTGATTACATGAGTGATACAAAAAAACATGCTCTTACATTGTTTTGCTGCATTCACTACTATTTTCTGTTGAACAAATACCTGATATCCTACTATGCCTGGCCAAATTGGGAAATTACCTTTTGCACGACTACATTCATCATGTTGTCATGTGGTGATATTGTTGACAATTCTCAGACATTGTCTGTATGCAATTTTATTGTATGCTGCTTCAGTAGTGAGATTATCATAATTTGTTCCATAATTTTCTTCCACTAAATACTATCTTCATTTTGTTTTTGCAGGGTGTTGAGATTTCTAATGTCATCCAAGAACTTCTTCCTGTGTTACCAAGCATCTCAGCAAGAGTCCTACCTGAAGTGCTGAGCCGGTTGACTTCACGTGTATTAGCTCGGCTAATCCGAGAAACATTTTTGTAGTTATTAATGCATATGAACCTCACAATAGAAATTTTCTAAAGCTTCTCTGTACATAAAAAGGAATGTCAAGATCCACTCACTGTCTCACGTTGACTCTTACAACACCGTCAGTCAGTTCAGAGTGTATCCATCTTTCTTTTTTGTTTTTCTTTTCCTTTTAACATGTAAATTTTCTAATACATAGTGTGGTTATTATTTTTATGATGAAAAGATATACTATTCCACTCTGTTCGTAAACAGAATATCTCTGAACTGGCTTCCAAGTCATCTGCTAAAGCATGAAAAACCTCGATTAAACAAGGATGTATGTTTAGGCATCATTATTCGATGCAAAGTGAGTCTGGGCACTTTTTATTTGATGCAAAGTTGTCATGTATGGTTTTCCATTTCTCCCCATTTTCGTGAATGGTGTTATACTGGCTTTCCACATGACAATGTGGCTACCACGGAAAAGGTACTGTGTTGATGGAATAGTGTGTTAAAAATTGGAGCTTTCATATTTTAACATGTATAACATCTTTGAAGCTGTACAGCTTGAGGCTTAGCTTTTGACTTGTATTAGCTTTTTGCCTTGCAGGAGATTCAAACAATGATTCCGGGCTTTGTGCGGTTGTTCATGTCCAAAAACTAATGCCTGGTGAGCTATTCCACTCGAACCCAAAGTTTAATATCTTTGTTCATACAAGTTTCATTTTGGCAAAGAGTGTCAACCAGAAATGGTGATTCATCCTGAGCAAGGACTTATGATTCCCAATCTGTGAGCAGGTATGATTGTAGTCCTTGAAACCCATATATTGTGGATCTGGGGGCATCATAGCAAGTAGCCTGTAGGTAACATGCTCTTCAATATCTTGCCGACTCTTTAACTATATTTCATCATGGTATGCTTAACTGGGGGGCGTCACAGTGTACGTGTGTCCGTCTGGTGATGATGCTTCCATCATCCGGCAATTCAAGGTTTGGTCTCGAAGCTAACATCTGGAGCAGCATTACATGCTTGGCTGTGCCTGTCTCTGTGCTCGATGGAACGGCACCTTAGCGAGCGCTCCGGAGGGACCATCTGTAATTGTTACCCTTTGCCTGCTCGCAAGTCGGGGGCATTCCGTGGCAGATGTCACCAACCTCTTCGGTGTCTAAGTCATTGGTCTTGATTGCTTCTTAGAAATGGCAGTCAGCCAAGTTGGCCCAGACCCTGTTTAAAAGCTTGCAGAATGCCAAGCTACCCTGCGCGCTGGAGCACCATTACGCTGCATTATATTCCTCACATGCCAACGCACCAAACATAATCAAAACTATAAATGACTACCATCCCGTGGGAATCCCCATCTTTCTTTATCCTCATCTGTAAATGCCAGTACTCCCCTGAATAAATACTATTTGAATTTAGCTAGTATTTTTAATCACGAGCAAGCAACCAACTAACTAATCTTGACTCTGGTTCCAATCGAAATCGAAATCGTAATCCAACTAACTAACTACTTTCAACTCAACTTTGTTGAAATGTTCAGTTTGTTGTCTGATTCATCGAATCATCACGTTGAACAATTTAAGAGAGAGAGTACATATCTTCCCTTCCACAATATATTAACATACCGTCAAATAATAGACACACATTACAACTTGGTGACAATATTACACTCGTAAGGAGGCATCATAGTACCAACAATGACAATAGTACCGACAATGACAACCCTACCTGGAAATAAGACAAGGACGACAAAAAAATGCCTTGACTTGGTTAGTGACAAGATAATCCAGACACTGCCTCCTCCACCAACTCCTCCAACACCTTCTCACTAATCTCCTTACTCAATTCATACCCTTCCAACCACCTAGATTCCGTCCACTGCCTTCCCCCGACCTCTTCCTTCACCAACCTATCCACCTCGATGCCACCATTGCCAGATTTGGTGTCACCTGACAACGTGTTCCTCACAAGTGACCAGACCTCAGCCACTGAAGTGCCGGCCGTATCGTCTCTCCGAGGCCCATGACATGCTGTTTTCCATGGACACGCAGTTAATAATATAGATTGGCTGATGTCTAACAATGCTGCATTTACAAAGTCGAAAAGAAGCCTCCAGTGCGATTGCCTCTCCCTGCACTTATCTTCCTCGTCTTCTATCTGCAAAGACTCGTACAGTAGAGATGGATTAAGAGGACTGTCGAGCGAATGCCATCCGCCAAAAATAGTGCTCTTGTTGTCGTCCATGCCAACAGATGATATCAGCTTGTTAACGAAAACAAATTGCTCATGTTCTTCGTCCGCCTTGGAGAATTTCACAGATGGCTTTAAGGTTGTTGCAGATGTTATGTCCAAGTAGGAGCTACTCCATGACAACGAACGAGCAACCGACCCGATCGGCGGAGACCGTGACAGTGCTTCTGAAGGGCAAGGCAAAAAAACATGATAGTTTTGTTAGGGAACTCAAATGTATCAGTAGAATTTGGTACATGATACTTACGCGGACATTCAGCAATGATACTTCCAGAGGACTGCGACAAACCATTATTAACATGATCCACTAATGGTGTTTCTGAAAATGAAATTTGGCAGGACTGGTCCTGGCTCTGAACAAAGTTCCCAAATGTTCCAGGCATCCCAAGAGAAAGAACACCCTGCAGATTTTTTACACCATGATTTTAAGAGTAGCAGAGAAGGATCTGACAATGCAGCTACATGTCCAAGGAGAAGCATAATATAAATGTGTTGATGCATTCCCAGCTTGTAACCATTATAATTAAATCTAGAGTCAGAAAGAGAGATAACAGAATGCATAACATATGCACCATAATTTAATTATTATTCTTCTGTAAGTTAACAGGAACATGTATAGGTTTACTAAGCAAACTTGAGAAGAATAAACAAAAGAATAGGAAAGAAATGCAGGAGCGGAATGTATCACCTTACGAAATGGTGTCTCTTCAGTTGATCCATGGCTCATTCTATCAGTGGTAACTAGCTTAATCCGTGCTGAAAGAGTATCATTAACAGATGGTAATAAATAATCATTACTTGCATCACTACCATTGGAACAACTGCATTGTCCTCGGTCATCACCAACTGAGGGAGATTTAAGGGGCTTCTGTCCGTTTGATTTCTTGCTTTTAGAGAAGAGAAGTTTTGAGACCTTATTCTTGAAAGAAAACTTCTTTTTATTTGACTTGGGAACCTCTGGCTGAACAATGAGTTTGCCGATCAAGGAACTAGAGATTTTCCCATTGAACTCTGCAATTTCACAAGCTGAAGGTGAAGTTGGGACAGACATTGATCTAGTTAAGTTCCTATGGGAAGTCTCCCTAGCATCTTCATATGTTGTCTCAAATGTGGATGAGAATGTTACTTCTTTCAGGTCATCTTCTCCACTGGACAGCTTGCTGCTAGAATGAGCAAGGTCCTCTTGGCTTCCTTCTCCGTTTATCTCAGGAATGGCAAGCACCTCGCTTAAGGTGCTTGAGGTTCTTCTTAATTGTGTCTGTTCTTGACTATTCACACTTGATGCCACCAAAGCCCACCTCTCTGAAAGCCGTTTCTTAGCTTCTGTAAAAACAGATGATTCAGATGAGTGAGATGCTCGAGAGAAGGATAAGGCTGAGAAAGGACTACCAATTTTATTGATGTAATCACAAGAATACACTGTGGCTGGACTTGCAATCTTGGAGTCTCTTAGACTGCCAACCTCATCTTCTATGTCCTCACCGTCTGACCTGTTGAATGAGTTCTCATCCCCGATATATCCATTCGATGGTGTTGAGGAGAACAAGGGTTCATCCCTTATGTTGTTATTCAGGCTTTCTCCCATCCGACAAGTTATCCCCTTGGATATTTCTCTTGAACTTACCAATTCATCAGTTGCTAGAGCTCCAGTAGAATTTTGCCCACCCGACATTGTTGGTGAATTGTTTGAAAGCTTGGTCTTTGTGTTATAGGGCTTTCCAGGGCTAGGCTTCAAAACAACTATCCTTGTTTGTTGGGAAAAGTTCTGACCTTTTGGCCCAGAAAAACTAGAGCTCCAAAAATGCTTATTCACTTTTCTAACACTTCCATCGGAATCTCTTAGCAGTTGTCTTGCCATGCTTTTGTTACCATTCCTCTCCGTGGTGTTGGAAGGTTTCAGTACAGTTACACTAGTAGTCGGAGAAGGTAAAGGGAAGCTCTGGTGCTCGAAGAGATGCTTTTTAAATAGTGAGTTTGGTTTTTCCAGAAATTTGAGAAATAAGTCTCTGTTAGAATTCAGAACCTCAACTGCATCCTGGAACTCCTTAGAGTCAAGAAGCTTTCCATCAGTGGCCAACTGTTTTGCTTGCATAAACTTCTTCTGAACAAGGGTCATTCTCCTTTGATACGAATTCTCATCATATTTTACCTTCTGTGGAGATTGCTCTTTAACCAAAATATTCTTGGATGGTTGTTGCCACACTTCATATACATCTCTACAGTCCTTTTCATGGGAGAAAGACCTAATCTCACATTCCTGCTGCTGATGATGTTGAAATTCTCCTGTCAAACCATTGCATAAATAGTCATTGTTTCTTATTTTTCCATCCACCGTGACTGATTGCTGGAATGGTGTGGAATCGAGGCCCATCAGTCTGGCGACAACACTTGGTGGGTTGTGTCTAGACTCTGTATCATCATAGATCTCCTGTGCCATAAGCATCTTGATTGTTGTTCCGCCTGATTTCTTGTTTGGGGAACTGATCCTTTGTTCACTTATTATCTGTGGATAGATGCAAATTAGACTAGAGTAAAAGAATTGTTTTGAGTCGATATAAATGGATGGCTTCACAGTTAATAATCAAGAGTGATTTTCTTACTTGTTTTCCTTCTATCTCCATTTCAACAGGATATATTGGCTTGGTTACCACATGAGAACAATTTCTGATCACTGCAGAACACAAGAAATGAACTTACTCCATATCAATAGCAGCTGAAATATTGAACAACTATACTAGACCTGGATCAACATTGCCAATGGTGCAAGACACAAAAACATTGTAAACGGATGACGACAAAGCATTATGCGATATGAACTGTCTTCCTCGATGAAGATGCAAGAACTCATAGCTCATTTTGATCAGGTAAAAGAAATACCATCTCTTTGTGGTCTCTCGGCAAGTAGTTTGGATCGATCCATGCCGGCACTCAAGTCAAATGTGTTAATCATTCTTCCCATTCATAGTAGAAAACCGCTCATTGAGGTGCCTGAGATAGAGACAAGGATGAACACATATAAAATTAGCCAAGATCCAGGACCACTATCCAGGCTAAGAGAAGGAAACAAGAATCAGGAACCAAATAAATGGAAAGACCAGATAAAAGCAGCAGGCATTTTAAGCAATGCAGGAGAAGAAAGCATTGATTCTGCATTTACAACCAAAGATATCATCATCGATAACAACAACAACAAAAATCAAATTTTGCTTGAAAGAATAAGCACCACAACTTTGTGTCCAGATCCCTCCAATAATGTTCTCCGAAAATGGCCTCCAATAAAAGCCCTAAAGCACAAAACTTTGCCAGAAAAGAAAGACAACTGACAAAATCAGGAAGAAGAATGGTAGGAGAAAAGGCATAACTGTGAACCAAAAGGCAGGATATAAGGTTGAAAGATACGAAAAGGAAGCAGGAGAGCACTTATAGCAAGGTTTTAAGCACAGAGAAAGAACGCAAAACCAAAGAACACCACACGGCTGCTGGAATTTGACAGTAAGAAGGGCATTTTTGTGAGCAAATTGGACAATTAGAAGAAAAAAATAGCGAATAGATCACCAGGAGAGTGACTAGAAGAAGCCGAGTCCAAATCGAGTCGAATGCTAACAGAGCTCCAATATCTTCACCGAACCAAAAGAAACCAAGGTTATTAAGCGGAGAACCACGAAAATCACATCTTTTCCCAAAAAGTGAGCAAAAGAATCATCATACATAAAACTCGTTCTACGAGGCACATCAATCAACCAACCGAACTATTGAGGAACAGTGGCAACACAAAAAGACACGAGAAGATCGCACAAAAGGCTCAACTTTTTAGCCCAGGAAACAAAATCCAACGCCAAAATCCGCCGCGGAAAGCTGCATTCCCCCACGGACCGCGATCCACCCAGCTTCAGAATCGAGATCGGGGTCCGAAATGTAGGGGAAAGCAAAACAAAAGCGAGGACGGAGCAGTACAAAGGAATCCAGGTCGAACGACGAGGGTAAAGATCGGGTACAAAGCTGGGGCACTGCGAATGGTCTCAGAGTCCCAGGACCAACCACACTCCACTCCGCGACCGCCGGAGGCCTCCGTCCACCGCTTGAGCCGGCGTGATCGCCCCCCCTCGCCGCGGCTAAGCTTCTGCGTCCGCAGGTGTTTGCCCGTACGCGGTCTCACAGGCTTCACTCCCAACCGCGGTGTGCAGCGAGAGAAGGGGGACGCTAAAGGCATACAAATTAGTTTTGGTTGCTATCATGCGCTGGATATATATATATATATATATATATATATATATATATTCTTTAAATTTGGACACTTGTATGATGCATTTATTTTTATTTTTTTAATTTTGTTTCTTGTTTTTAAGAAATAATATCTACATGTGATTCACATTTGGTCAACTATTAAAGCCATGAATGATTCTAATTCATGTGATAAATTACATATATTCTAAATTATAAGGAGGATAGAAAAAATATTTTTATTTATGAACAATGGGAAAACAATTAACCTTTGATAGATAATAGAATGAGAAATATATAAAAATAATTTTTTAAACATATAATAGCGAAAAATAACCCACTTAGTCGATCATAAATTGTTGGGACATTATGATATCATTATTAGACACAATTTATTCTCGTAATAAAGAATGTTGGATAGTTACGATATTTGTGATCGACTTATCGTTTCCTTAATTGCACCTTCAGATATATTATATCCTTACCGAAGCGTCAATGATGATAAGTCTTAGTTTAACCCACGGTGCACAGACTAACACCGTTAAGAGAGGTATGGAAACTCCTCGGTCACCTTACCGCATGCTGTTGGTCGATGAAGTGCTCCAGGGAAAAATGTAAAAGCGTCACCACCAAAATGTGAACTACACGTAATCTTGCATTCACCGGCAGTACGAGGACTCGCCCTCATGTTATGGTCACGGACGGTGGACTTACCCGCTTGATGCTAGTTCAACAAAGTGACTCCAAAAGATTAAAAGGCTGCAGCAACAGCCGACCCTTGTAATCTTATTCTCACAGGAGGTGACCGGAAGTGCATTCTCGTTCGCTTCTTCCTTCTTTTCTTCCTCCTGACACAGATGAACCGTAAGCCCATCGCCAGATCAGGTATGCTGCTACGTATGTCGTTCTCCGTTTCCTCTTGATTCGATATCTGTCTCTGCGATTGATTATGCCTGCTCGACATCAGGTTGTAGTACCTAACGAGATTTACTATCCATTTATTGCCCATGATTTTATTACCTCGTTCTTAATGTTTCGTATTGATGATGGTCCGGTGCGCAGCGGCTCGATCTTTGTGGCAATCGTCGATCGGTACTGCCAACAGCATAACTTGTCGCCCTTACGATGCCAAGAGATGTACTACCACACACATTGTAACGAGTAATACGCGACATTAAGTCTGCTCCTGCTTTGCTTTGAATCCAGATTAAAGGTATAATCTTTAAGCTTTGGACTTCCTTGGATTAGATGTAGAATCTGAGACAAATCATGGTTAAATGAAAGTGATCTGTGGTGTTGGATGGAGAGTGGGGAGGATGGATTAATTGCAGGAGTCGGCTAAGGCAGGGTTTCATGTTTGCCCCCATTTATTCATCTTAACCACTGATATAAATCTGTAGGATGCTGAATAAAGATGCGAAAGATGGGAAAATTTATTGACTGGCTCCTGATCTTTTCACTGGAGGAAAGAAGGTCTTACTGAGGCTGATCATCTAGTGAGGTTGATGTTTACTGGGGAATAAAAATCTTTTTTTTTTCCCAAAGAAAAATTAAAAAACTTTATTAGTGAAATCGATATGAAACAATCTTATTCACCTCAGAGCGAATTAAAAGATTCAAATCTGAAGGATTAAACCTCCTCCAAAGACTAGAGAGTTTATTTCCTCTCTAGCATGGGTGGCCAATCAATTAGCTATGCGATTTTCTTCGCCGAATACTTGTGAAATTGGTGTAGAATATTAACTTCAACAAGCAGAGCTTGATTATGGTGGGCTGTGGGTGGTTCTGATGAAAGCCAGGTTAATGTAAACAAATTAAGGATGTAAGGAGTTTTACCTATAAAATTCATAAGTCTGCCTTTATAGCTAAGAAGGCATCTAAAATCTTTTAGATTTGGTAACCTGGATGTATTCATTTCTTGGTGCCATGGTGGTTTTTGAGGTGCTTATATTGTTTTTGAATAGAATGGACAAAGCAATAGTGAACTTTATTTTTGTGGTGTGGAATCAAGGAAGAAAAATTAGTGTTTGATGAACTGGTTAGTGGACAGAAGAGAGACTGTTCCATTGTAATCATGGGAAGGAATTTAGTGTAGATGAGACATTCTGCAATGGAGTGAGTTCTAAATTAGGAGATAGAAAATGGATTTGATTTGGGAATCACAGCTTGTATGACTCAAACTTTTGAGCATAATGGATGGATCTATTGCCTTGGAAAATTTTTCGTAAGAGATGATTAAATTTCACAGGATTTGGAGTTTGTGAATTATGCTTAAGCTCATAGAGTTAGAGTCTTTTGTAAACTGTTAGGATTTAATTCAGATGCTGGTTACAGAATTCTGTGGACTGATGAAACATTCATTAGTTCATCATCTCTAGTTCTGTATACTGACATCAGACAGAAGGCATGTATAGAACCAAAGGACTTTGTCTGCGGCTTGTTCACATAATTTGTCAAGATATGATGAATGCAGAGATCAACTGTTCTTTCAATGTGATATATTCAAGATCCGAATTAATCTTCTTCTATAGTCTGTTTGGTGTTCGCAAGTTTCTCAGATGCTAGATCGCATTAGTGGAGAGAGGCTGGATAAGGAGATGGTAAGTTGTTGGGAAGAGTTCTGGTCGGTGCCGGTGCCGGTGCCGGTTCCCATAGAGGGAAAGGAGTGGTTAGGTCTTTGGAAACTCTTTACACAATTGCTCTGAGCTCCTTAAGTGTTATAGTTTGGATGGGATTATAGTCTTAGAGTTACAACTTTGATTTCTTTTATGTATTTTTTTTGGGTTCAATCTTCTATTTCTTTCTTAGTTTTGGTTTTCCTTTTTCTTACACAGGTTCTTTTCTTCTTCTAACCCTTCCATTGTTGTTCTCTTTGGACATTTCAGGTCTCAAAGTAAATGTCAGCACAGAATCTAAGAAACTCATTACTGAACATCACTCATTGACTGATTCAGTTGAGAAGCACAGATTCATGCAACCTTCATTTTAGAAGGCTGATTATTTTTCCTCTAATTAGTCTTATGTGATGCAAGAACAACTTTATTTTTCATCATGGCCTTGTGAGATCTCACCAGCATGTAAACAATCCAAGAAAGAGAAAACCTGTACATGTAGAAAGCATGAAGTTTATCAAATGAACTTTTAACTGCGAAACACAGTTCAGCTCTTCACAACTAGAAATGATACAAAGCCTTTACACAAAATTACACTTTGTAACAATTATAGGAGAAATTAAAATGAACAAAAAAAGAAAGAAAATGAAGCTTGCTGGGGGATTCTGTTCTTAACATGAGGATGGATATCTGCTAATCTCAAAGTGAGGCAATTAAGTCGTTGGAAATTAGATTATTTCAAGCGCTGTTTTAACTATTTTGAACGCGCAGTTGGTAAGCATACCATCGAGTCTTGGTATCATCACCGTGTCCAGAGTCTGCCCACCGCTAGTGAGCATAAGATGATGAACACCAGTTGATTTTGGAAGGATTTATTTTTTTTTTGAGCCTCTTTGTCCCACCAAAGCACGCGATAACTTCACCGAGCGGATCATGTACTTCCCCGTCGCCGGCCAGAGTCTGGTCACCTCTACTGAGCATTAGATGATTTCAAGCGCTGTTTTAACTATTTTCAACGTGCAGTTGGTAAACCTACCGTAGAGTCCTGGTATCATCATTGTCCAGAGTCTGCTCACCGTTGTAAGCATAAGATGATGAACACCAGTTGATTTTGGAAGGATTTAATTTTTTTTGCGGCTCTTCGACCCACCAACTCACGCGGTACCTTCACCGAGTGGATCGTGTACTTCCCCGTTGCCGGCAAGAGTCTTGTCACCGCACAGCAAAATGGTACGAAGTCCTCGTAGCTCCCACGTGGCATAGTCTTCACCGCGATTGAGCGTAAGTAGACTGACGTCGAATGGTTTTGCATGGATTTAATTATTTTTGCGGGGTCTTCCTCGGATGAAAGGATGTGGTAACTTCACCGAAAGTTCGGGTCACCGCATTTCGCATGGTTTTGATTTTTTTTTAAACCTTCTATATTTTAATTGCAGGAGGTAAGTTTATATATATATATATATATATATATATATATATATATATATATATATATATATATATATATGTAATAAGAGACCGAGTAAATGAATAATGGGTCGAGAGAATCAAGTGATATGACAGTTCGATTGAGGTATGCTTGCAGTATACATATAGCGAAATGAATTTGCATCAAGCCATTCATACGACACAAATAGAAAATTACAATTGACTGCGAACCATTAGAAACTCGGACATTGTGACGGTGCAGAAACATAAAGATTAAAAAAAACAAGAAAAACAAAAAAAAAAGTGATAACACCCGGAGAAGCGCAAAAACAATTGCAAAGGATAAACATCTTTCACCAGTGAGAAAAAAAACATGAAAATGTAGTTTCTTTTCTTTCTAAACTTTATAGCATCGTCAACGGAATTTACAAAAGATAAGTAATTACAAAATGCAATGAGAACTTTTGCAGCTTGGCACATTGTCATAAAGGAGGCAGGCTTTAACCAAAATACAGTGGCTCAAACCTTATTTAACCCAAATATTGTGGCTCAAACCTTATGCTAAAGGTCGGTACATATATCAAGTTAAATGGCCTACAAAATGCTGTGTAACATCTTTTCTTATTGCCCAAAATATTACAAACAAATACATGTAAAATCTGAACCTTGGCTATTTATTTGTCACCTGATCCAAATTGTCACCAGTCCTACAATTATGGATAGCAAAAACCTTCATTAGTTACTTATATATGTATATAGGATAGAGAAAAGATGTGTCGGAAATCAAAGTACCTGAGAACCAATGCAAGGCCGATGGCTACTCCCCTTTGGATCAATGCAAATGTGGAGGAAATTATGTAAAACTACTCGACTGTGGCTTCACAAAACTAGCCACGAATTAATTGACTTACAAATACTTCGTCAAGTTCTTGTACCATTTCTTAAAAGCAACAAAGAAGAAAAGCAGTCTAAGAGAGAGAGAGAGAGAGCTATGCCCCCAAAAGAAATGCATGTATATCTGTCCAGCTAGACGCTGTGTAGACAACACCAGACAACCCTCCCTTCCAGACATTAGCATCCTCTATAACTTCCCGTTGTTTCTTTATCGAACCAGAGTAGAGCGGAACGAAAGACACACCAAATTGCTCCCCAACTCTCCTCAAGCTTAAGCTTGATCCTATGACGATACCAACATCTGCTTCCAGCAAGCAAAGCAAATCACCAACTGAATCCCCAATGTAGACAGACAAATGCTTTTCTTCACTGGCAAGGTTGGCTATGATGCTTTTGAATGTCTTAACCTTGTCCAAGGGAGACTCCATCATTCTGAGAATTTCACCCGTTGAAACAGATCCATCGTAGTTGAACTCATTCGAGTGTATGCCCAACTCATTTAGACAACCAACTGAACAAATTGAGCACAGATTCAGATGGCTTTGCTAGAGCATCATGGAGAAAAATAACCATAATAATGTTGTGTTGCCTAATAACCTTGTACAGAATAATAAGTTCAATACTATCAACAAAAACCACAATTAATGACAAGTCAAACTGTGAGACATGCTAAAATAATCCATTTCTGAGAGAACGGTGACCTGCCTCAATCTTTTAATGATATATCAGAAAGGCAGATGACATCTTGGAACTCAAACTCTAATACACAAATCATTCCAATCTTTTGTCTCTTTGTTGACCAATTTAGAAAAAAAAGTCGAAAAACTTTCTAGCTTAAGATAAATATGTGATTGTGCATTATAGGAATATAATAAATACCTTTCCCATTAAATCAGGTGGCTAAGTGGTGTTGTAATAAATTCCAAGCAAGCAACTATTGGCACAAAAATATTATTTTAAACTTTGCAGAAATATAAACGATGAGTGGAAAACACAAATAAACTTTAAAGGAAACAAAGAAAGCATCTCATTTGGACACTGTTACATAACATGATCCTCCTCATAGTAAATTAGGGATAAAAGATACCTAGGATACACATATAGAAGCCTGCTGAAGTAAGGGAATAAGAGAAGAGATTTTGGTAACTTCATATAAAAGTCAAAGTACCTGAGGATGGGATGAAGGTGAACAGAATAATGCCAATAAAACTAGTAATTATTATTTTGAAAATTTTCACAACAAATGAGGTAAACTATCGGATATGAAACTCTTAACTCTGTGACATCTTTATTAAAACATGGAAGTGCTTGTGAAAATAAGAGTTCAGCAGAGGATCTATGGACAACATTTTTTGAAGTTCCAATTGGGAAAATATAAAAACTTTTCTCTTTCCTACTCAATAATATAGAAATGATTAACAATTTTTATAACACAAGAATAACAAATAAATGATCGTCCCATGAATGAAGATAAGCATTTTGATACAAATATTTAAGAAACAGGGCAAGACAGTAAAAAATAGATAGACATTTGTAAGTTATGTAAAAAATTAAAAGGGAAAGATCTAACAAAAGCTAATGTGTGAAGTAAATATATTTTCAGTTGGCTTCGGTTATGCAATAGATAAGCTAATAAGAGTTGTCCACTAAATAAGTGTATGTAATGAGATGAATAGGAACTTTGTACATATATCCTCACATGTATGGGAAATTAAGGAGTTTCTTTCTCTAACCGGTATGTGGCCGTGACTCGATTAGCTACATCTTCCGTATGCATGTGTACCACCACAATTTGCCTCTACAAGTGGAAAACAAAACAAATCACAAGAGAAAATCAAGGAAAGGAAGTACCTGAAGAAAAAGCTGATCTTATAAGGTCTGCGCACCAACAATATGACAGTATGTGGAACTCGGCATTAAGTTTTTGTTTTATCTTTACAACATTCTGAAAAAATTCTTTACAGCCATCTTGGAGGGTCAAACACTCCCCAGTTCTCTTGATATCTTCTAAATTCATTCCCTTCAGCAATCCTGACTCTATGACCCTAGAATTTGCTTGTTTTTCAAAATTGGAGAACTGCTCAAGGCTTTTGTAAAGGCTTTCATAATCAAATATCTTTGCTGCACATGAACAAGTAATTAAAGGCGTGTAAGAATTAACAAATACAGTGTGCTTAAATATTATCTCCAACAAAAAAATAAAAAACATGCTGTTATCTGATCATCTTAACCACTGAACTTGTTAGAAGTAAAACTTGTGATCAAGTTACCTTGCTCTGGTGGAAGTAAGCTTTCGATACATTGCTCATACTCCTCAGTATACTGCTTAGAAAGAACATCCCAGGAGTTCCTCACATCTGAAGGTGACCTCTGAACACTCAAAGTATCAGTCCCACTCTGACCAGGCTTGGATGCGGTTAAGATTGCAATCTCAGCTAGTAAGGCAGAGGAGTCGAGCACAGTGCAAGTCAAGTCAAAATCAGAAAAAATAACCAGATGATTTGTCGGATCATGCAGTTTTGTTAATGGAACAACCACCGGTTGGACAATTGGCTGAGCATTGAAGAATTCAATTTCAAGTTTCATAGCATGGCACCAAAGCTTTTCTATTATTTCAAGCTCCTCGCCAGTCAATGAAACACTCAGTTTGTCAAGCAAGTCTTCTATTTGAACGGCAGATGCCTGCATGGCATAAAAGAGAAAAAATGGCAACTAACTATAAACAAAGTTGAATTTATCTGTACTTAGTTCAATAAATTGAATTACAGATGAACAGGACAAACAGCGGTCGATTGCTTTTAGACATCAAGATACCTCAAAACCTGCAGAGGAGTAAGTGTCAATCCACTTCTTGTATGGATGACCATTTCCCTCATATTGCAAATGCAACTGAAGCTCTTTGCCCAAGAATGCATAAAGCCTCATGCAAGGGGTCATAGCACCAACTGTGTAGGCAGCAATTTTTGTCTTCTCAAAGGGAGTAACTATTTTCCCATGTCCTTTCCCACCTTCAATTTTCCCACCAGCAGTCGCAAGCAAGAACTCAGTGTACTTTAGTGTTGCTGGGTTGGGAATTATCTCTTTGGTGGGGTCGATTCCCCATTCCTGCATAACTGGTTCTCTTAGATAACTTTGTATGCACAGGTCTACACATACCCCTGTACGATTCCAGTAAAAATGCAGTTTTTCACAGCTATAAGAGAAAGAGTGAGAATATAAACTAATCATAATAGCACAACCATTTAAGTTCTATTTAGCTACAAGAAAAATAGGATCATAATTTGTGATCAGCTATATAGATCTTATACCATCTTTGGGTGACAGACAGTAAATAAAAAAAGGTATCAAGATGAGTAAATCTTAGTGACCTCAAAGCATGGTACAGGTGTAAAATATGAAAACGTGATTGCATTGTCAATTACCCAATCTGCTTTATAATATCCAACTATGTTTTCAAAAATACAATCCTTATAAGAGAAAATACCAAATAGAAGGGAGCATAAAGCACTGAAAAGCATCCAATGAATAATTGAAAGAAGGCACAAAACCTCCAACATCAGCTTTAGATATTGAACACAAACACGCACATACACACACATATGGATGGTTTTCCTGAAAATGTCGCCCTTTTTCATTTTTTACCCAAAGGTTCCCCCTCTAACCCTTACCAACCCCAACAGTATTTTTCCCGCTTGTTATAGTGTTTTAGCCTGACATGTTACAATGTTTTGACAACCATAACAAAAACAATATAGAGTCCAATTGAAAACACTATAAATGATACAAATAGAGTCATAACCTCATCCAGATTCCAAACCAACTTCAAATTTAAAATTTTGATACCGTAATGGTCTATGAGCAATGACAACCAAAGAGACATGATATAATGTTACTTATAGTGTTTTTCAATAACTTTAGTGCTTTGCAGTGTTTTCAATACTTCAATAAAAACACTATAACATTATTAAAAACCACAATAAATGAACCAAATGGAATCAAAACATACTAGAAATTATTTGATATATCATACTAGGATTCAAATAGATATTTGCTATAGGAACAACATCACCCAAATAAGGATACAAAATTAATCTATTATAGTGTTTTGACCACCACAACAAAAACAATGTAGAGGCCATATGAAAACACTATAAATGATCCAAATGAACTCCTAACTTCAACCAAACCAACTGCAAGCCTAAAAATATGGTATTGTAATGATCTACAAGCAATGACAACCAACGAGACATAATATGACGTCACTTACAGTATTTTTCAATAGCTTACAGTGTTTTCAATATCTCAATAAAATTACTATAACACTATTGAAAAAACACTATAAATGAGCCAGATGAAAACACTGTAACGGTTCAAAATTGGTGGAAAAAACTAGCGTAAAATGTATCATTAGGGTTGGTGAGAGGCATTTTGGGCATTATTCGAATTATGGGGTATCATTTGGGAAAAATCAAAATAGGTCACGTCTTTTGGGAAAAATGAAAAGGGAGCCTTAGGGAATATATATGTGTGTGTGCATGTGTGTGCGCACGTGTGCACGCACACACGTATGCTAATAGCATGCTTTTCATGGTAGAACTAAGACCCTGACAATGGCATGTAGAGAAGTGACAAGTGGAAGATCACACTAGTGCGATCATCAGATGCAAATTCCTCAAATTGAAGTATATGATAATAATAAAACGGACAATATAAAATTCAAAGTAAATTGATATTAATAAAATTTAAGACATCAATCATACAGCCAAAAGGAACCATGATATCTCTTTTAGTATAAATTGCTGAATCTAACATAACAGTCAAGCTATATATCAACAATTTAACACAGAAGAAACCCTAGAAATAAAAATCTAAAACTATTTAAAAGTATCATGTACTTTAAGCAGAAAATCCTTTTCATATTCAAAAGAAATACTAGGAAAAACAAGAAGAGCCAAATAAACATCAGAATAGTATACATAAAAGCAAAACACATTAAAGTGCAACATCAAACTATTTATTGCAGTTTAAGCACAAAATTCTTTATAAATCAAAACAATTTCATAGGAAAAACCAGAATCAACATGGACACATTTTAATTATTTCTTATTTGAATAAAATTTATTAGTTCAATAGTATTCTGCAAATGCCATAAGTTGTCACTTGACAACATTTTTCATATTTCCATTTCACTTTCTAAATTAGAAAAATAAAGCAAATGCAGAAAAAATGAAAAATAACAAAGTTTTAATTTTAATTGAAGATTTCATCCTTGCAAGAAAGTTCTCTATTCTACAAGAGAGAATATCAATTAAGAATATTATCAAAATGGAAGATTATTTTCCAAATCAAGTATGGAATGTTGTCTTCTTCGAAATGGAAAAAAAAATAGATGACTTGTTTGATGATGTATAATAATCACTCTTTATTTTTTGTATTTTCTTTTTTTTTCTTGTATTTGGGGTGTATAAAAAGGGACATGAATAATAATGGAAAATCAAAGCGAAATGGGATATACTAAAGTATGCTTTCCCATATAATTTGTGAGTGATATGAGAAATTTATTTTTCGTACGAAATTATCAAACAAGCAAAAATGCAAGGCTTTTATCATGGGAAATTCTCCTTGAGCCACAACAAGTTTGACAGTTATCCCTTCCTTATCCTATTATCTTTTTTTATTATCTTCCTCTTCCTCTCTCTCTTTCCATCCCCATATTATAGAAAAGGTCCACTACATGTATAGTATCAAAACTCATCCAGCATCAGTTTTAGTATCAAAGCCTTTAATTTAGCCAAGAAAAGAGGGAGAACTCATATTTTGATATTCAAGATTACTCATCCAGCATCAGTTTTAGTATCAAAGCCTTTAATTTAGCCAAGAAAAGAGAGAGTCTGTTTTCTCATGATATATGTAAATAATGTGAGGCCACATTGATTTTTCTGATGACATAAATCCTTAATCTCTAGGAGTTTCTCCTATTGAGCTAGAGCAACTCTATTAGTTATCTCTTTTTTACACTATTATCTTTATTTTCCTCTTTCTCTCTCTCTTTCAATACCCCTATAATAAAAATATCCCACTACTTGTTTTACATATTTGGTGTCTGAGTAGCTTGTCCTACATCAAGAATAGCCAATAAAATATGTAAAAGATCCACAAGTAAAACCATTGTAAAGCCCAATGGAACAAATTACAATACATTGTTCTAATATAAAATCCTAATTTGATAAATATATATGTTAGAAGTTGCCAAGATCCAGTGAACGAACTGCATATGCAATCAAAGATAAATCCTACATAATAAAAGAGAAAGAATGGGCTGAGAATTTGATGTGATCAGAGAGAATGATCGAAACCTTACTTGGACGACTGAATCATGCATTTTAAGCTCATCAAGAACAGCTTTCCTCAGCTCAGTGATTGCAGCCTTGGTTTCATCATCATCAGCAAATTCTTCTGCCATCTCATAGCTAAAATTTATCAAAAAAACAAAGAATGTTTTATCACCATTCAGGAATGAAAAGGATGGACAGCTCAAAATATCCCACCACAGGAACAACAAGAAAGCTAGGATCCAACTATCTGCAACTAGCAAAATCGTATCGACCCTAGCAGAATTCAATACAAGAACAAGTAAAATGGAATGCTTAAAAAGAATCATAAACCCCAACCCACTGGACCACCAAGAACCACCAAGCGTTAAGGTTTCTGGCCGAGCAGGACTGATCACGCTTGAGCAAACACCTTGAGGACGTGGAATTATTCAAAGACCAAACCGTAAATAGCTCAAGATCCAAGAAGTCGCAAAAATAGTTTATAAATCCTAAACCCTAATTCACAAGCCCAATCAGTAACCACCAACATCGAAGCTCAGGGAGCCAAGAGCTGTACTACTCACGCTTGAGCGAACGCCCTGAGGAAGTACACGTCCTGGGCAATGTAGTTGCGGAAGGTGTCCATGTTCAGCTTCCCCGCGGCGAGGCACACCACGAAGGGGGTATACGACGCAAACAGGGCCTCCTTCCAGGAGCCGATCCAGAACCGCCTGGCCACGGAGCCTTCTCCAGAGGCCGCCGCCGCCTTCGCCACCATCTCCATGCCTGCACCAACCGTGGGGGACGAAGGATCCGCGGCGCAGCGAGCAAGGGAGGTCGATCTCGAAGGCGAACCCCTCCGATCAGCGGCGGCGACCGAAGGAAGCTTCTCAGAGAAGCCGAGATCCGATAAATATCGCTTCGAGGGACGAAATCGGGAGCGGATCGAAGGCGAGGGCAAGGAAGAGAAGGGGACGCGGTTATGGATTCGGAGGAGGAGGAGGAAGGGGGAGAGGGATCGCATCAACGGCGGACGAAGAAGAAATGGTGGGATGGGGAGGTTTGGGAAGGATTTGGATTACTTATATGCGTGGAAGTGGAAGAGGGTGGTGGGGGGAGTGCCGGCGGCCGGCCGTCGGTCCGTCTCGTGAGTCGCTTGCAGTGCAGATCCGCTGCGTCAACCTCCGAACATATATGTCTTGTCACGTCATCACCACCATCATCGTGAGATGGACACGTTACGTATTGGGCCGGATCAGTAGTCGCAGCTTTTGGGCCGTAGGCCCATGCAAACGCCTTTCCGATCAATTGCACGAATCACCAGACATTCCTTATGGGCGTTCCAGATCTTGACACGTTTGGGGCTGTGGTGGGGCCCAGACATCCTGGAGAGCGGACAGACCGGCGAAGAAGTGAGACGCAACATTCTGTTATTCGAGGAAATAAGATTGGAATTGCAACCGGCAAACGAGTACAGGAAGCGAGAATACACTGTTCAAAGATGAATATACAAGGCATCGCAACGCAACACTTGTAGGAATCAATGGTAAACAACAGAAGAAGAGTTTGACATGTCTTTTTTTTTTTTTGGCATCGGGTTAAGAGAGAAATAAACAGGCGATGTTACAACAAGAAAGATGACACCAAGAGGTTCACATCAGAGCTGTCTCCAAACCAATGACCAACCTTTCTGTAATTCATCAACAGGCAGCCAGGAAGTAGTACCTGATTTTATAGGGAGAAAAGAAAGAATTTATTGTCAAGATTTGCATTGCAGATCAAAGAAAACATTAATGGCTGAAAGTAACTGACAGTAATTGCTACACATTCACGAAGAAAATGTAATTAGCAACAATGGACAGGATCTTAAGAGAGCATGGAGGAAAAGCTACTTGTAAAGAAGTCGGCATACTTAGAAAATCCCTAATATTTAGGGATTAGGACATTTGAGTGCCAGATGATACAAAACTAGTTTAAATATTTTTTTCTCATTCTCTCCCTACCTTTTTGGAGCTCACATCCTATGAATAGGATCAAGCTCTCAATTCTACTAATCCAGAATCAATTATGGTTTCTAGGCATTCTAAGAATTGAATATCATATTTAATGGACTCGGTATTCAACTCAGCCTTACGTAGAACTCAAGTGGGCGAATCTATCTGTCACAAGCTACTCTTGCACGTGCAGCATGTGACCTTACATTCATAAGCACGCAGATGTCGGTACGCCTACGTATAATCTTACTATTTGATTCTAGGGATACCTGTCATTAACTTTATGTTATCGTAAACGAAACATGATTGAGACCAAGAAAGCATAATTCTGTCACCGATGCAGATAGAAGTTTCCCTAACTACTATTTAAGAATGAACTATCAAGTCCCATGCTATGAATCAGCATATACAAAAACTGTTGTGAGCTCATACCAAAAGTGCAATTTTTTTACGATAATTTTCTACTAGCTAATAAAATTATAGCCCAACATTAAGTTATAGCTGTAAATCCAGTTAGAAATCAGTTTATTATCAGTCACAAGTAAATCTAGAGTCCAACATCAAGTTAGCATCGCATAAAGATCAAGCTATAATTAGAAAAAATTGAGTTTCTATATCAATAAAGCACATTCAGTAGCATCTTTGACAAGTCACATATGCTTACCAAATTCCACAACACTTGTGAGAACTTCTGGTACAAGTTCCAAAATTAGTCAAAGAAGAATCACAAGAACTTCAGCATTCTATCCCCTTATAGATACTTCTGCACAATAGTTTATAAGCCTGCATATGCAACCAAAAGATTCTTAACAACCAAGCATAGACATGTACAAAGTTTCAGAAGTATCAGAGGGGTGATCAGATCTACAAAAACGAGTTTAAAAAAACCTGTTTTTTATTCTAAAACAGACCCAACCTATTTAGACTCATCCCCCTCTTTCTGTTTTGAAGTTTTGGGTATTTCAGTAGTTTAAATGATTTCATCCATTTTGCTTTCAATTTTAGTATTATAAAGATATTATCAGAAACTAAAGTTTGGACAAATTGGCAGATCACACTAGCAAATTTTGTTGAATTGGTTTTATCCCCACTGATCCAGTTCATTGAGATAGACTAAAAGCATTAAGGATTAATTCCATCCAACACTGAACATCGGAGATTAGGTTGGGACAGGCAGTTCAAGGTCCATTATGTTGACATGGATCTGGATTGGGCTGAAAACAAGACCTTGGAAAAGAACTATCCAACCAAGCCTATAATTTATATACCAGTTGACTAACTGATATTCACCATTTTGCTCAAGCACACACAGAAAACCATACAGCTTGGTACACCATTTGACAATAATTTTCCATTTTTTAATATTTTCCAGCAATAGGGTGCATTACATGTTGGTAAATCATTATGTATCTTGGTACTGGATTGGTCCAACATGTCAAAATCAATCAGTATTTAGAACCTTGACCAAGCCAATGACTAAAAACGCGAAGACCTTGGTTTTTTTTTTTATAAGCAAAGTAGGCTGAAAGCAATACCTGGCAAAATGAGAACCCAACTCTTGTTAATAGCAATTGCTATTTTTCAGCACTCTAAAGCATACTCCTGGATCTACAAGACAAGCAAAGTGAAAATAAAAGATTAAAACATTTACATTAAACCATTTTCAGCTTGCTAAATCATTTATAAGAAAAATATAACCAATAAGACCACCAAATTTGGTGAGATATACATGTAAAAAAGAGTAGGATTAATAACCAAAGATCAGCACAAAGAACAGACATATTGAATATACACAGAGAATAACAAGCAAAACACTTGATATCAGATCTAAATGAGGGACCTAAGAGAGCACGTGAGTCCAGCTACTGCTTTTACTGAATTAATATCATATCTAAGATTAGCTAAAGAGAAGCATTTTACACCATGATTTGAAATCTCAAAACCAGACACCTACTGGTCCTAGGCAGACAACTACAGGTCAGGTACACATTGGCACAATGACATACGAAATGCTGGCACGGCAGTTGGCATGGGTTTGGCTGGTCCAAACAGTCTATTTTTCGCTTTGGAGCCATATATTTGATACATCTAGAAGACAATGGTTTATTCTCATAACCATATATTTGATACATCTACAAGTCATGCTCATAGCCATTAAGATGCTGCATTTGATGTACCTGTAGCCAATGACCAAATTTTATAAGGAACATAGAGACTACGTCAACATCAATTTAATACTCGATTCCACAAATATATGCTATAAGAGTGTAAACTGGAGAAACAATCTCATTGGAAGTTGATAATGAAACACAAACTGATAATCTATGTAGAACAACATGATCGACATCAAGAACTGTTACAGCTGAATCTCATGTTTTACAGTATTATTCTTCAAAATGGACAACTTCAAGGGAAAAATCGTTTCAACCAAGTTTGTAGATAAAAGCACTTAATTCAATTTTCAGATGTCTAACTTAAGATGAATGATTCTGACTTTCAAATGGTATCCCTCATAGACTTCACCAAAATCTTCTACCATGTCTTCCATTTGTGCCTGCTTGATGTATAAAAAAGAGACTATCCAAAAACATGATTTACTTTTCACAAAATTTCATAAATATACCTTAAAAAATGCATTGAATTTACTTATAATGCAGAATTTAGTTCACATGGTAGTTTCAGATAAGAAAGTTATCTCTTCAACCACATGCAAACTCAATTGAGAACAGTTACCCTCGAAGTGCCAAAAGGCTACACTGAGGGAGCAACGAACAGAATGAAGATGTCCTTTCAGATACTGTATTCAATTTCATGATTATTGAGGATGGAGAAAAAAACAATGAAACTAGCAAAATGGAACAATAACAAGAGACAAGGACATGAAAATGACACAGGCTCTTGCCTCCGATGAAGAGGGTGGTGGAGAGCTCCGCTAATGGGTTGGACCTAACAGGGGACGAAGAAGAGAATGTAGAGATGGAAAACAGCCACCTGGAGCCCGCCCTCATTCGTTTGCCCCAAACATGAGAGCGGATGAGAAGAGAGAACGGGAGAGAGAAGAATAACCAGAGGGAAGAGTTGCTCGATCGACGGTGGTGGTCGTGGAAAATGAAGAGGCAAGAGCTTGTTTTGTAATCTTGTTATGTGTAGGAAATGATCTCCCCTCTTTTTTTCACTTTTTTGCCCTTTTAATAAACCCTCTTGAGTTGACTAGATAAACTCGTTGTCAAAGGCACTAGGCACTAAAATGCACCAAAGTTATGAAATGCCCGATGCTCCAAGCGCTCATCTAGATGTTCATCTAGACACTCGAGCAAAGCAAGATACTCGTCAATATAAAAATTATAAAAAAAAATATAGTTGAGGAGAAAGACAATAAATGAAATAAAAATAGATAATAGATGTGTTTCATATAATTTCATATTCAAAATATCACCACTAAAACATCAAATTACTTTCAATTTAAAGTTTTATCATGCTTTTATTTTCTATATTAGGGAGTCACTATAATCATATTTTGAGATTTTCAAGTCCTATTTAAAGTATAGATTATCTTGAAATAATGCTTATCCCACTTTACTAGTTGAACTATTTGCCACAACCTATTGAGTCTACAGTGTGTTCAAAACAATTTAATATTGGATTCCTAACATCTTTCTGATTTTGGTTGAGCTTTCATTTAATCTTAGTTGTCACATTGGGAAGCCTTTAGAGTTATGTTCAAGTACACTCTTATAGTCAGGTCTTATTCTAGGTGTAGAAGACTGGAAGTTCCTCGAGTTCCAAAGGTTAGACGTCTTTTTAGAATGGATTTTAGAGTCACAAGATCTAAAACTTGAGTTTTAGTATGAAGAAATACAAGTCTTGTAAGCCTATATAAAAACTAATCTTTTGATATAACAAAATGAATTTAAGACATTTTAAGCAATGAAATTCTTTTCTTGGCTGATAGCTATCTCTTACTGAGTGTATTGTCATGCTTCTAGCCTCTCATCCCTCCACATTCTTTCTACCTTCTCTCTGCCGGCCCCATGGCATTACACAACTATGACAATCCAAAACAAAGTAGAAAATCAATATATTATGATGAAAATCCACCACTGAGTTATGGGTTCTAATCTCCATGAGGTACAAGATCCTAGCAACGTCATTTGTTTTATATGCATAGACACATCATATATCTACCAGGCATAAAACTAAACTTGTCCAACTTAAAGTTGTAAAAGTAGAATGAAGACAACAAAATAATGAAGTGGTAGCTTTTACAAATGCATAAAAATGAAGGTAGAAACTTAAAAGATCAACACCTCATTAATATTTTCCTCAAGAAAAAAATTGTGATTCCTGCAATTTGAGAAATGTGGGCCATCATATTGAAGAATCCTAAGCTTGCCCTCCTGCACTTCGCCATGAAAACGTGTATGCAGTCCAAAGTGGAAAGAATTTCTGAAGAACTCTACTAAAAAAAATTTTCACCTTCGTTCCATAAACTAGACCTCCTCCAACCAAAGGATGAAAGCATGCAACATTAACCTCATCCTCTGCACTGGGCAGAACTCTCACAAGCTCCATATCTGAAACTCTATAGACCTGAAAATCAAATATTTAAAAATGGAATCAGATGAAAAATAATAGGAGTTACTATTTATTATGGTACTCATGGATATTATGGTGTTAAGTACATCGAGAGGAAGAAAGTATATTGAGATTTCACAACACATATGAATAAAGAAATCAAATATGTATCAGAATCATTAAAGAACTGACTTGAAATCAACACTAATAATAATCATTAAAGAACTGTGATGGTGAGCTTTTGAGTCATTATATGATTGCCCACATAACTAAAACTACCCTACATTGGCAGGAGCCTTATGCAATGGGCAATATCTAGACCTTGATTTATTCACATTCTAATAATCGTCATGGTTGGCCATCATTTTTATTGTAAAATAACCTCAATCCTGAACTAGCATAGTTTCTAAATTTCTGTTAGAAAAATATCTAGTGAGAATGGATAAGTTAGTGGACAATGAGTCTCATAGTTATCTTGTCAAATCAACGTATGCTAATAACAATCATCTGAACCGAATCATTTGTCACATTTTAATCAGAAGAAACAGAATCTACAGCTAAGTTGTCAACAAAAGATCAAGAAAGATGGCAAAAAATAAACTGATAACTACCTCCAAAATTGTGTAGATAGGTAAAGCATTATCTCCATCAATGACAATGCTCCTAAGAAGTGAATTATGGCGCCGACCGTATGCTAGCAGTATGTGTTCTGATGTGGGTGAGAACTGAAAAAATGAAAAAAGAGTGATCAGGAAAATATCAAAATAGAAGTATGGTTGCCAGCAAATTGACACAACAATGCTAAAGAGACTGAATAAATATATTTGCAGTGTATGCCACATATGCAAACTATCATATCAAGCCCATGTATACACAAATTATCAGACAAATCTATACAACAATAACAGTAGAATATTGACATGGCCAAAAACCTATGCGATACTTGATCCTCTTTCACATAAAATGAGACCTTAGATTGCTCCTAGAGTTTGACCACTGCTTACGAGGATAAGGCTGCAAAAATTCAGCCAAAAATTGGCAGGCACCTCATTCATTGACAGCCCTCCTAGACATTGGGGAACCCTAGGGATCATCATAATAAAGATTATAGGACAGGACCATAGACATTAGAAGGCAATTGTTAAGAAGACATATGTGCAAATCAACAAGTCATCAAACACAGTCAGATCTTAACATCAAAACTATGGTAAACTAATCACCAACCATGTCATCTACTCTACCCACCTAAGCTTAAAAGAATGACACAGCTGGAATGGTATGACAACTATGCATAAGATTACTTTTGGCATCAGATTGCAGATATTGGCACATTTATTAAAAAAGGCAGATATAATGTGCAAATCAATTGCTGTCAACAATAGGACAAATGAAAGCTTTTTAGTTCACTTGCAGAATCAGCCAAATTAAGAAAGTTTAATTTACTTACTGTTTTCAATTAAAGTCAATCTATAGAGGATTAGTTAAATTGGAATTCTCATACCCTTTTCTTCATCTTATAGCACAATAAAGTGATAAACTACTCTAAGCTTCCAGACATTTAACTTATAATATTCACTTAACTCTCATACTCTTTTTGTTTATCTTGATATTTATTTTTTGCTTCCATGTACACTTTTTAGCTTCATGCTTCGAGGCCCTCAACATGATTTGTCTTTTCTGATCAGAACTCTAGGTGCTTTTAAGCTTCTTTGACCTGGGTTGATGGCAATAGACGCATCAAAGGAAAAATAATATTTTTTTAGGTGGGGTTGGCAGTGGAGGAGTTCAGTTCAATGCTAACAACTTAAATTGCTTAAGTTTATTGAAAGAAACAAAACAACATAATTCCTGCACTGACCTGAATGGAAGTCAAGCAATGAGCAGCTCTGATTGCCCTTGAAGATAGGACCATACCAAAACTACAAACAAAAGGGAAAAAGAAACATGAAACAATGTCAAAAGCGAAATAAGAAAAGGTTGACAAAACGGAAGTAGTAAACAAACAAACAAAGTCCAGGTCTTACGTTGCTTCTTCAAGAGAATAGATACGAAGCTCATACATAACTTGGTGAGCAGGAATTGGGTGTCGTGTTGGTGATGTTGCAGCACCTGTAGAATCATGTTGCATCTGCGGCTGGAACCCTGGGTCGCCTTCCATGTGAGGCAGCAAACATGCAACACAAGCTACCAAAAATCGTCCACAAGGAGAAAAGTGGGTGCCCATTTCACTGTCAATGTTATTAACATGTAAGCACTTCAATTATATGGCACTAACCAAAAGCATCAACAAGAGTAATCCACAATTTAATTGCCCATGTTAACTGAGAATGAATCACCATCCCAAGGAATGACACTGTGAAATGGACTCCAGCTGAAGTATCATTAACCAGCATACAAGTAAATCAAACTAGACCCTACCAATAAAAGAACATTTAAACCCTTGTACATTATGACCATACAGTGGGCTACTAAATTTATGCAAAGATACTCTAATGCTAAACTATGAAAAGAAAGAATATGCTAACCCCATAATTGCAAACGCCAAGTAGACAAAAGTTACAAAATGGTAGCATAAATAACTTCACCTGCAAAGGACAGCATTTGGTATGGTTAAACGGCATTTTTCTGGATCTAAGCTGGCACATGGATCTTGCATATCATGTGGCCATATTCTTAGCTTCACAGTGCAAGGTAATTCAGCAGCTGCAGCTGCAGCCAATGATGTAGGAATCCCAGATTCGATACTGTTAGGACGAGAGTGTGGTGCAGATTCATCATTCTGGGAGTTAGTTAATGAACCTTCTCCATTACTCGTAGAAGCCATCAGACGGGAGCGTGATCGTTGACGAGGACCAGATCTTCCAGCGACTCTAGACTGGCCAACAGAGGTTGCCATAGGTGAAGAAGCAACCAAAGCTTCCACATTATGAGCATGGAGTAATTCAGATGACAGGAAGCCAGATCCTGTTCCCCGAATAACCATCGAGTTCCCTTGAAAGGCACTGTTGACTGGCACTGTTGTATGCAAGCCAGCATGAGTTTGTCCAATTAACCAACCTTGAATAAAAGGCAGCTCCCACCATGCAGGATCGCTGAAAGGAATCAACTGATGAAGGTGTCCACTATCTGTGTTTCTTAAAATCATCTGTATGTCAGCCCCACGAAAGGAGCTCGAGGGTATAGCAGGTGCATCATCTAAACCTGACCTGGACTGCCTAATAGGGTTGAGGACAGCCACATTAGACTGAGAAGTAGCCGGCATATTAGTGGAAACATCCATCCTCTCAGGAATACTGGAGACTCTTGTTTGGACCCCTAACATAGGCTGCACCTCAGTGGTTTCTGTTCCTTCCATGATAGGGTCAAATGTTGTTTCAATTCCAGACTGCAAAGGATCAGCAACTTCATCTTCTTTTATAGCATTTGAAGCAGAAGTTATATCCATAGGAGTTGTTTTGTTGTCATTCTGGTTCCCGATTTCTGGACTCTGTTGACTGGTTAGCAATGAGAAAGATTCTACTCTTTGCAGCATACTTCCTAAGCCACCAGCCCTGACATTCTGCAGCAAGACATTCTTCTTTAATGAAGTTGACCAGAACAAGTAAAAAGAAGATTAAAAAAAGAATGTTCTATCTCCAAATGTGGACAGACATTATTATTACTGTTCGCAAAAAGGACAGCTGGAGGGGGGTAGTGCAAATAACCAGATGATGTTGCAAGTGTCAAGGGTGAATCAGGAGAATCAAGATCATTAACCTGGAAAACCAGAAGATTAAGCACAGCAGCAAAAATTATAAATGTGCAGAAGTTTGTTTAAAACCAATTCAACCTCAGCTGTTAACAAGAATGGTGCTGCCTGTGGATGAAAATGTACAGCCCTCAACGAACGTCGGGTCTTTAGCACAATTGTTGGTGAAGAAGACTCTCCTCTCTTGTTGTAGTTCCACATGTACAGCTACAAAATGATATTTATTAATAGTTAGAACATGACAATCTTGATACCATGAGCACACACCCAGAAGAAGGATAAAAATCAAAGTTAGACAAATTACAACAACAGGAAAATCTCACCTTGTGACCTGAAGCCACGGCAAGAATCTCTCCCTGGGCATGAAAAGCAATAGAAGCAATTGGGCGATCTGCATACAGAAAAAGGGACACATGTCTACCAATACCTCTAGAGAAGACTCGGAGTAATACACCATGAATAGAAGGTAATCAAACTAAAAGATCATGACTGTTCAAAATAACAAGGCTACATATAAATTGGCACAAAATATTACAGAAATCACGCGACCCAATGCAGTTTGAAGTTTGGGCATCCCACAGACGAACTTCATGGTCCAAGCTGCCACTCGCAAGTATATCCGAATATAATGGATGGAACCTAACCTGCATGGCAAATTTGAAGAATAGCTCTCAAAAGAAATTTCTATAACTCTAAAGTTAAGAATAAATATGATAAAGGTAACAGAGAAAATTTAAGTGAACTATTTAACAAAATTATCTAATCTCTTAAAAACCATATCCTTATTTGTATTACTTTCAACATCAAAAATATGGACCCTATTGTTAAAATACATAAGAAAAAATAATACATCTTAAGAGTGACAAACATTCGAGAATATGAATGATGACAAATTTTATTGAAAACTGAAATCCTTTATAAGCAAGTGCTGTGTGCACCTTAAAGAAGCAGTGGTTGAAAATGTCTCAATCAACACTTTTGAGGAAAAAAGCAATACAAGAAGTAATGTATTTTCCAAAGGAAATAGCAGGAGGCATATAGTTCTAAACATTACAATACTTCAGTTTATTATAAATTTACACACAGCATGCACCTGAACTCTATATGTACACATACCACCCAAGGTGTTCGACGATGTCCGCTCAGCACCTTTATACATTTTCCAGTTTGGCAGTCAACAATCTTGACAGTGTGGTCACCGCTGCAAAGATTTGGTTAGTCAAGTGACTAACTGAAGCATAAAGCTAAGGCACAGGAGATAAACTTACTGGGTGGAAGCAAGTATTTTTCCATCTGAACTAAATGCTGCTGCAATTGTGGACCTTGGAGGGGGCACAAGAGGACAATATCTTGCTGACAAATAACATAATGACTCTGCTTCAACCCTGAGGAGGATATTATTCACAGAATAAGCACTTAGGAGTGCATGTTTCACAGCTATAGTTGACCTTGTCTTAGAAGAAATAATTACAGACTAATGAATGCTTATTTCAGCTATCTAATAAATAGCAAATATTTGATAGCAAGACAGTTCAAAAGAACTTTACCAGGACATCAAAGCATGTCTGACATCTGTGTCACATCTTAGACCAACACAATCACCAGTGCACCCTAAACCTTCTCCCCACAGCCGCTTCCTACAGTGCTTTGCTCGAGGAGATATCTCCCTCCATGCTAACAACCGGGAAACATTTCTATGACTGGGAAGAAACAAGATTATACAACTAAATGATCAAGTAGACCCCCAAAAAGAAAATGTAATGGCATAGCTAAAACTTAATAAAGAACGCTAAACAGCTAGCAGGATAAACTTAAATCACATCACGAGCAGGGCATCTTGATTCCTTCTCTAAAATAAAGATACAAGAAAATACATGACAATAATATAGCAATACACAACAACTTGACAATTAGCATGCAGATCTAGAAAGGTAGACCCAGCATTTTTTTTCTTCAATATGTTTCCTTCATCACAAAGAATTTTCCTGTGTGTACTCCTAAAAGGCTTGCAGCAAGCTCCCTGATAATTATAATAGAGGAAGTTGAACTTATTGCCTAGATAAAGAATCAAAATTCACGCCTCAGTTGCCTATAAATATAACGACATCTATATTGAGTTTATACCATTTTTAGTAGCTAATATCAGTGTTTTTAAAAGCACTAGATGCCAAAAGACACCAAGGTCCCAAAACGCCTGAGACACTAAGCGCCCGCTTGAGAGAAACAAGGAGCTTTAAAATATTAAAATATAAAAAAATATAATATAATTTTAAAATATATATCAAAAATAAAAAATGTACAGTATAAAAATATATAATATAAAATATAGTAACAGTAGTTTTACTTATCAGTTTGAAGGATTAATAATTCACTGTTAACAATAGTTATAATATTGTTAGGGGGAGAGAGGGGGCGAAGAAGTCACTGACGATGGAAGGTGGGGAAGTAGAGGGCGGCGATGACAGCAACGGCGATGGAGGAAGCTACAAATGACGACAACAACAATGGAGAAAGCTGCAAACCTATCCCTTGACAGTAGAGGGAGCTACACACGAAAGATTAGGCAACGGCGAAGGGAGCGCAAGCATCAGAGCGAAGGCAGGGAAAGCAAGCGTCGACGAAGGGAGCGCAAGAATAAGCATCATCGCATCGATGCCTTCAACGGGACCAAAGGTGAGTTAGGGTGGTGAAGTAGGGTTTGGGGGTCTCGTGCGCGAGGGGTGGGTGGGTGGAGGGTGGGGTGGGGTGGTTTTACTATAATGTTTAGTTGGTCCAATCAAATCAAAGTTGACCATCTAGTACAATTGCTCACCTTCAACCGGGCACATGTCCAGGCGGCCGATGCCTAGGTTCAAGCGAGCACCCAGGCAGTGCTTCACTAAAGCGCGTCACCCGGCTTCTGTGCGAGGCACTCGGGCCTCACCTCGTTCAAACGCTGGCACACCTTTTTAAATCACTGGCTAATACACAAATTCACCCATTGTAAACATCACACCTTAGTCATCCCACATTAAATTTACTTGACAAGGTTCATCAATAGTTAGTCATCAATGGTGATGCTCTTCCACGAATGATATACTCGATCATTCCCCAGTATATATATCATGAAATTCCATCATACAATTTCACCTACAATTAATTGTCAATGGAGACTAACCCAAGACAAGTGCAGCTCTAAAGAAATCAAGATGAGCTACTGCACAATGTACCGTTGTAGAGATGCCAGACCCAAACTCGACCTGGACTCACTTTTACGTTATGGTTTCTCCCAAGATGAACCATCTCTCTATGGATGATCCAAACCCAAACCAATTTAACCCAAATTCTGACCAACATTTAACATATAAAGATAATCAACATCTTCAACCAGCCTTCAACTTTTCAATCAACTGTGATAAGATTTGGTTCGACCTGAAATTTTCACCAAATACACTGATGAGATTTCATCCAAAACTAAATTTTGGATAAAAGGACATCTGCCTGGAACAGATATTTTCAGGTGACACAGGATCTGACTCCTCATGATAGATTATGTTGAAAGATGGCAACAGAGTGAAGGGATAGGACGATATCACAAGTGGGAAAGAAGAAACAAAGTCGGGGGATAAAGTGGCTTTAGTCTCTCTCATATTTAGATGAATGATTTCCTTTATTTCTCAATGCCATGCCTTAGCTTACCCCTGAATTCTTAAATGATAATATCTATTTGACAACCAATAAGGAAACTCCATAGCACGATCGATTTATAGAGATAGGTAGTTCACACCCACACCAAGCAAATTAGGCATATCCAACAGTCAGGTCATCTCCTCCTACACCAGTCCCAAGTTATTCTCCAATTTGTACTCTACATATGAATGATTATTATTTGATCAAACATTAAAGATGCTCTATGAGATAACCTCATTATTTGATAGAATAATTATTAAAGATTTGGTTGAACTTCCTTTTTCATATTCTTAATTCAAGATCACCTTCTCTCAGAAGGTAGCTCAAGTTTCCTTCTAAAAGTGTTTACCATAGATGAAGATCTCATCTTCAACATCAAATTTCTTTCTAATTCTTTGCTCTAGTCATTCACCGACATTGCAGCAAAATGTGCATCTGCAATATAAATTCAGTCTACAATTCTTTAATTAGATTAACCATTCAACAAAGAAATAAGCAACTTCTTAGGAACCCTCATGCACTAGGCTGCCCTTTTTAACTTATATATAAGCCCAAAGTTACAAGATTTTGTTGTCTTTTGATCAAGAAAAGCTAGTATGGCGTCTAGAACAATATAGAATGAAACTGGGGGCATCATGTGGCAAACTAATGCAAATTAAGCTGTTTCTCAATTTCATACTATAGTCTTCCCTACTTAGTATAATCATATTTAATTCTCTACTTATAAATTCAAAGCCCTAACTAAAGTAAGTTAACAGCAACAAATATTTAGTATATTACTTACCCAGAAATGTGATGCATGCTCATTTTCTCTCCGCAAGAATTTAATACTTGAAAGTGAAGATAGTCCTAATTAACCAACATCATAAAACAAGGGTAAAAAAATCCAATAAATCTTGCTGGTTTAAATTTTTATATCCATTTCTGAATATTGTTATAGTGCACTGCAAATGCAACCATCACGTACATTAGGAAAAGGAAAGAAGAAACAGAGATGGCCTAGCATTACTACTTATAATAAAAGACACAAGAGAAGTAATAATGAAATATTCCTTCACCTGCATTTCAAGCTGGAATCAAATGTAGACCGTGAAAAAACAGTGTGTGAATTAGTTTGTGACGTGGAAGATGAGAACTTTGAATCATCTACCCAAGGATGAGTCATTTCATCTTTTTAACATTCTGTTCCTGAAACTATGATTACTGAAATAAGTTAATAATATCAGACCAAATAACAAAATCAAATAACTCATAATAACTATTGAAACCATTCGTACTTAGGAATGTTAAAAGATCTAAGAGAGAGACTAGGCAGTAATAAGTTAAGTTTCAGCCTCCAACATGAGATATAAAAGAAAAACAATAGGCAGAGGAAAACCAATATAGGCCATTTTTAACTTTCACGAGTTCAAATACAGCCCTGTCATTTCAGTGCTATCCATCCAGCTCCTTTTTTTAACTGTTTTAAGGATATTGAACACAATTCAAGCAGACTCGTCAATCAAAGAAATAAACCGCAGCAAATAAATAATTAATTAACTGAACAACTTGGCTAAAGTTAGACTTGAAGCTTCTAGAAAAAAAGGAGGAACTTAATTTGCATAGCAATAATAATGGTAGTCAAGATCACTATCTTTTTCACTTAAAACATAGATTCCAAAAATCTCCACCAGCATAAAAAGGATTGATGATCTCTATCCCCTTAAAATAGAACCAATGATCTTTATCAACATTTAAATTGAGTAACTTGTTGCATAGGATATCCCAAGTTAAATAGTTATTAAGATATTTCAAAAGCGCAAAACGCACCAAGATGTTTTGGAAAGTTATCTAAAATCGTCAATCAGCACAAAACAAGCATCATGATTTGTAAAGTTTGAAATGTATTACAAACATTTTGTAGAGCAAAAGCAAAACATAGTTTGAACCAAGGTCTGCCAAACCGTACCGTACCGGAGTTTCGACCCGGGCTCGGTGTGGTACGGTACCGGTGTAACGGGCAGTACATCAGGGCGTACCGAGCGGTACACCCTGATGTACCGACAATTTTATATTTTTTTCATACTGTAGCACTGTAACGGTACCGGGCGATCCGCATACCGATAACCTGTCGGACCGGTACGTACCGCCCGGTATGGGCGGTACGCTTCGGTACGGCAGACCTTGGTTTGAACACAATATACTGCATGTTTCTGCAACATAAAATTCAACTCCTGCACAAAATGTCAAATATAAAATAAAATATGGACAGAAGAAGTATGAGCCATTCAGTACTATGTTTCCAGTGATGAGAGTCATAAGCATCGTTGCCATGAGATCCAAAATCATCATGATCAGGGAAGCATTATACACCATGATATTTGGAATAGTAAAAGATAACGAAAACGTAAGTGTTAGATTGTGATTAAAAGTATGTTCATCATCACAAAGTCCAATTTTCTTAAAAATGACAAATTGCTGATGAATCCACTTTGTCAAAGTAGTTGCATCATGGATTTGAGCTCCACTTCTTGCCACCAAATATGGCAACACACTTTGTTTAGAGAAAGACAACTAAAGCCATAGGTACAGATTAAGCATTGGCACTACTATTTCCACTCCATATTTACTAAACATACTTTAGCATATCAGTCATGAGCATTTGCTTTCTTGTTTTTGGTAATTAATTTTGTTCCACATCAAAGTTATCACAAAAGCGTTAGGACTTATGGCTTTGTTGCTGTTGTTATATTAAAGTTATCACAAAAGTGTCATCCCGTCAAAGAAAGGGCAGTATAATGCATGAGCTTCCAGCCAATGAGAGAACTAGAGAGGGTCAATACAGACAACCTTACCCCTGCAAGCTGAGATATCGCTTGATATGACTTGAACCTAGTCACCCAGATCACTTAATAGCAACTTCATCGTGGCGTCAAAGCTCATCCTTTAAACAAATGTGGTAGATAAGTTTCAACGGTAAAAAGAAAATTATCTATTTCTCAGTGTTCTTTACAACGGCCTCTTATGCAAACTTTGCTCAACAACTTCCTTTACACTCATGAAATCTTATACTTAGTCAAGTTAATGCTTGGATTCTTCTCTAACCAAATCTAACACACGGTTGCAGCAAAGCACATCAGTTTATGACTCCTACAACTTGAAACGCAGAGCTAAATATGGCACAGACCAGTTTTCAACCTAGAATGCAACACAAGTCATATTATATCTACTTACCCCATATTAGTAATATTTTACTTCCATCATTTATAAGGGATTCATTGGCAAAAGCTGAGATTATATATGATTATTAGAGAGAAACAAAGTTTCTTTTCTGGTCACAGACATTATCCTTTGTACAAACATCATTAAAGAAAACTAGTTCAAATCAAATAAGGATAGAAATCTATTTCCACCCACATGCCCCATCTGTACACTATGTTCCTTCTTCCTCTCGACTCTGCTAATCCTCATTTCAATCTTCAGTTCTCAATTCAATTCGATTGTCTACAATGACTAATAGAGCAGCGGAAATTCCCCCAATTTAGGTTAAACTAATACCAACTTGATCAGCCACCCTGCCAGGGGACACCAGTGCATTGATATGTAATTTCTCGATCAGAACTTTTGATCCATAATTACATCATCGAGATGTATGATGTTATCTGACGCCACCGTTCTTGCAAAACCATCAATAAGATCTCAATGTTATCCCCCAAATAAATTGCAAGAAAAATAAAATAATAGAAAGATGGAATCTTTGCGGCAGCTCTTCTGACAATACAACAACTAAAATAGAATTTCGCTCCGACGCGAAAACCTCCAAAGAAAGCAGCAATTTTTCACGAATCGATAACTACAACCACAAAAGGATTTCGCCTCATTACGTGAAATGCTCCCGTGAAAACCTTATTGCATTCGATTTCACCCTCGAATCTAGAAATCCAATCAACAAAATAGTGGAATTAGGAGCGAATAGAAGGATCTCGTTACCAATTGACCAGCGAGGTGAGGGGAAAAAGGATCGCCCCTGTCCGGCTTGCCAAGGATCGAAGAAAGATCGATGATCAGGGGAGTTCCTCTAATCAATGCGGGACGATCTCATCTAGGGTTCCCGGTCGATGCTGACGGACGAAGAGAGGCACTAGGGTTGTCATACGACCAGAATCCTTGCGCACAGCGTCCGGAGATAATTAATTAAGGAGAATCACAATTTCAACGTAGCGAGCACCGATATGAACCTTCCGATCGAGATCCAACGGCCGAGAGGCGATGTCCCCATCGGGAGCGGCCCCGATTGGGAGAACTTGTGGTGAGGGAGATCAGCCACGTGCGCATCGGTGGCTCGGCGAAAGGCCTCCATAGAACCGTTCATCCCACCGTAACTTTTCATCTCGACCGTTCGCGTTGGCGAACCCAAAATGGATGGACGGTTCCGATGAGGCCATCAAAGGTACCTGCGCGGTAGCTTGGGGCGTCCGCTCACCGCCCACGTGGTGCGGCGACGAAAGTTCTTCTGACCTCCCAAACTTTGATCGGGTTGCGTAGTCAACGATGAAGACTAGAATTCCGCGCCGTTTAGCCGGACTTTCACGGGTGAGTCACCCCTTCAACCCTCGTTTTCATGGGATGCAGTTTGCGTTCAAGTCTGTGCAACGGTGCAAATATGGGAAATCCCAGTTGGCTTGCCCTTTTGGCTTCACAGGGTTGAATGGCCTGACACTGTCTTCTCCATCTCTCTTGGATTCTTCTTCTATTCCAAGGTTGACGAGAGTATTCTGATACAGCCACGAATGATTCGAGTATGAGTGCCATGAGAGTTCCTGTCATTCTCATCCTGTGGAACTGAGAAGGTATGGAAGCATAATACCCACAGACACAAGGAATGCATGAGTGGTCAAAAACGAGAGTAGAAAGTACATATTATTCTAGAAGATGTTTGATTCCAATAAGACAACAAACAAGGATGAATTGACCGTCACAAAAAATGAATCATCTTCACAAAATACAATGAATGAGAAAAGAAAAGGAAAAACCCAAAAAAGGGACCAAAAAGCAGCACAGGTTGACTGGGAAGCACTAAGAATGGAAGGGAGAAAGGATCTTGAGGGAGCTGCAGCATTCTTCATCCTTGGTCTGGCATTATGCTAACCTGATCAAGTTTTGCTATTAGTGCATCAATAATTACTTATAATTTACCTAAGAAGTTTACACATCCTCTCTTAAGTAGTTATGAGAGATCATGAGGTGAATACAATCATTAATTTAGTAATGGCATTTAACATTTCTGTTTGCTATTAGTATCTTATCATCATTCATTTTAAGTATAAAACATCTATTTTTTTCAATTGAGTTTTGCTATTAGTGCATCAACAATTACATATAATTTATCTAACAAGTTTATACAGCCAATCATAAGCATTTATGAGAGATCTTTTTTTTTCGTAGGGTACATTTTTTGGTAGGGTACATTTATGAGAGATCATGAGTCAGATACAATCATGAAGTCAGTAATGGCATTAAATATTGGCATTAGTACCTATCATCATTCATCTTAAAGCATACAAATAGATAACTTTTCTTTAGTTGAGATCACAAATAACAGTACAACTTACATAAACAAGACATGCACTGGTGTAAATAGAGAATTGTAAGAGCCATTTCCAGGGGATCGACTAATTCATGAAAAAAAAAAGAATTGAATGGACTGAAATAAAGAACAATGAACTATTAATTCCACGAAGCTAGTGAAAACATAACATCATTAACAACAGGAGCACATCTTGTAGGCCAGACTGCCTTCAGGTTTGCGTGTCCCAAAATTAGATCAAGATGGTTCTATAGGAATTTGTTCTTCTCTTAGATTTAAGGGCTAAACATCATGGTGGGCTGGTAAAATAGCCTACACCAACTTACATGATCGAAGATGTCAGGCGGATACAAAAGAGTTATGTGGATAGAGGCAGTAAGATTCATAAACAGAAGAACATTCGGATTATGGGTTGATTTCCATACCAAAATCGATTAAGAAACAATAAATTGAAAAGAAAACGGAGGCTTGTCATAATCTTGAGATGTAAACAGCTGTGCTTCCTTTTCTTTTCAAGCAAAGCTTATCCTTATGCATGGTAATAATATATTTGCTCATTTAGATTGGATTAGTTAAAAAGACCATCACGGGAAAGCAAAAAAATGAAAACAAAAAAAAGTGGCTTTATGATGAATTTCATTAAGAGAAAACATCATTGACGACTTGAATAGCCCGATGTGGTCCGAACATGTATACTTATGATTATCCGAAGTGTTTCTAAAGTGAAAGCATCATGCTCCCGAGATGCTATTTGTATAAAGACCGAGGTCAAGAAATGTTTCTCAACCTGATCCCTCCGACGTTCAAGTTAGTTATCCGATTTATATGAGTATAGACACGAGTAGTTAAAAGAAGTTTTTTTTTTCTTTTTCAATGTTAAAGACGAGCTTTTATATTTGATCGTAAAAATCACTAAAGAAACTTACAATTATTTCTCTTATTAACAAGTTATCTTTCTCATCATTAATGATGGGAATAAAGTTTGTGATTGTTTTCTCGTCATAAATGATAAGAAGAAAGTTTTATTTTATCCTCCCTCATTCGGCACTATATGATGGTAACATCATATGATTAACCGTTAGTATATCCCTTGTCTTAGCCTACAAGCAAAGATAATGGGCACTATTAGAATCACAAAGGTAGATGACAATCGGTTATGCAACCACGAGCGATTAACTCAAGTGATCGTATTGTCGTTGGTCTTTGTGTGCACCACTCAAGTTAACTGCCTACTTATCTCTGTAACTCCAACAACACCCATTACCTCTACTTATAGGCTAAAAGATATACTAATGACTAATCATTCGATATGTCACTGTCACATGGTGCCTAACGAGGGAGGATAAGACGAAGCTTCATTCTTGTCATTTATGACGAGAAAACAATCAGAAGCTTCATTCTCATTATTAATGACGAAAAAGATAATCAAATCTTTTTTTTGTTATTTATAAAGAGAAAGACAATCATAAAGTTTTTTCGTGACCAATATAAAAGCTCATATTTAACACAGAAAAAGAAAAAAAAAACTTCTCTTGGCTACTTATATCCATGTTTATATACCTTAGATTACTAATTTGAACATCAGAAAGATTGAACCAAGAAGCCAATCTCGATTTCAGTCTTGGTGGTACCTCAAGAACACGACACTTCAACCTCGAAACCACTTCGGACAATTCTGCATATATATATATATATATATATATATAT